CGCCTAGTCGGACAAATCGACTTGGACGTAGCCGCGATTTTTCAGGGTGTACCACTTTTTTCGAGCCGATACCTACCGCGCGCGCGGAACGTGGTCCCTTTATGTCCCGTATACATTACAGCGTGAAATGAATGATTCCTCGTACGAGCCATACCGTCATACCGTACAGTGAGTTATAGCCATTTCCTTGAAAGTTGCCCCTAATGAATTTGGATCATCTAACGAAGGCAAAACCGAACGGAACTTCTTTCACAACTTGCGCATCTTCAAAACTTTCACGGAATTATTATCCGAGCCTCCTATATCCGTGTATATCCTTTTTTTTATCAGATATAGTTTCCAAATTCCACTTCATTTCATTGAGAGTTGAGATAATACGTAAGAAGAAATCGTCAGAAAAATTTCTTCTATCTCTTCTTCCTATCGAGGAACTTTTCTTAATCTATTCATATTATATATTTATATATTTCGTTCTATGTGTTGAACATTTACCTGTTCTTTTTCACCTGTTTCTGATTAGTCAAACTTACAATCCGAAAACCTCTTGTGAATTAAATGGTTCGTTAGAATTCTTCTTCATCTAGTTGGGTTCTAGATGGGTTACGTAAAACGATTATCGCTCGGACGTACGGTCGATTAGCATCGATGATCGAAGAGGATGCATCACGTGGGGCAAAGGAACGGCACAGAAGAGGGACACGAGAAGGTAGTGGCGACGATCGCGTTCGACCCGGCAAGGCCACCACGGCGTGGGCAGATATCCGTAACTCGATGATTTTGCAACACTCTCGAGCTTCCTGCTGCAATTGATTAATGGCGATGAATCGATGTGTTGCGCTACAGATATACGCTTGGATATTATATACGCAATGTAATCGAAGCGTGGACGAACGATCTTCAAGGTTAACGCGTGGAACCGTTGCCGGATTTCGATCTATCTTTCTATCTTTTTGGAGGATTGAATGTTGTATATATATATTCCGGGTTGAAATTTAGTGAAATTCGTGAGAGGGTACGGATGATACCTGAAAGAAAGTTTCATAGATGTAGATAATTATAGATAATAGGGGCATTTGATTAAATTGATGATTTTTGATTTGAAAAAAAATTGAAAATTTTCAATAATATTTAGAGAGATGTTAAAATTGGAAAAGTTTCCGAAGAATCATTTAGGATTAGCTTGAACAACCTGGAAATTTGGAATTATACATAGAGAGAGAGAGAGAGAGAGGAAGGCGATAATTGTGATCTTATGTATTTGGAACGACAGGATGGACAGAAGAATATATATAAAGTATAATTAAAGTCGTATTACACAGAGAAAAACAACTATATTTCCTCTATTTTCGTCGAAACAGGTGACGAAGGAAGAGAAAGGTTTTTTTTTTAGAAGAAACTACACAGAAGCTTGTTTAATAGATAAAACAAAAATATTTTAATTTCGCATTTATGTTTGGTTACTGGCCGCTCGTGCGTTTCACCGCTTATATGCTATTATGTACAGAAAGAAAAAAAAAAAAAAATAAATCTGAAATATAAAGAATTCTTGAAAGAGTAGAGCATGAATAAAAACGTTGGCCAATTAACGCCAGTCGAGAGATCCAAGCGGAAGCATAGAAGCGATATTTTTTATTCGCAATCCTCTCCCCTCTTAACTTACATCTTTTTCCTCTTCTCTCTCTCTTTCTTTCTCTCTTTCTCTCACACACATACACTCTTTCTCTCTCTCTCTCTCTCTCTC